CTGGACAGGACAGTATCTTAATTACCATAGTTTCTGCCCTGTTCTGTACAAAAGAGCCTTAGTGAGCGAAGTGCCTCTTCAGTAGAATCCTACGAATATGCACTGAAGACACACTTGATGAAGAAGAAAGAAAGTTGACGCAAAGTCTAGTTGATAACAAATATCCAAACAAGTTCATCAGGAGATATAAAGTACAACAGTGGTTTGTGCAGAATAATATGGTACCATCATTGTGGAACTTTCTGTCAACTGACAACATGTAAAAATTTGCAAGTATGTTAAAACTTTTCTGTACCTTAACCTCACAATTTATTTAGGCTGTAAGCAGATGATGAGAAGCCGACGAAATAAATGATGGTGCCATATTATTCTGCACAAACCACTGTTGTTCTTGCTTTATTTAAATTCATCAAGGGGAATAAATGCATGAAGATATAAAGTAGTCAGAACACCAAGACCCACTCTCCAACGCCCCTAAGAAAGACGTGTACATCAAGCTACCCTATATGGGGCATCAAAGCAGCTTGATAACTAGACAAAGACTGAACGCTGCTGTTAATGTCATAATAATTGAGAATGTGAAGCCAATATATCCATCCATTTATGCCTTTCGAACATGCAAAAATGATGTCACATCCCACTGTATTTACCAATTTGAATGTACGTGTGGACACACGCACATAGGGAGGACTCATCAATCTCTGCAAGTAAGGGCTGGTTTCAGAGCATATTCCTAAATAGCTCCAGAAGCAAATGGGATCTTCAGAACCCATTAATGGTGAGGACAGGAGACCTAGATGCTCTATCGCAAAACATATTATAGAGACAGGATATAAAATTGACGTTAACAGATCTTTTAAACCTATCCATTCATAAAACGTGTTTGCGGCGTATCCTAAAGTTTGTGGAAGCCCTAACAATTAAAAAGTTTAACCCACCTTCATGCGTTCAAAAGCAATTCCTCATCACATTAAATCACCTTCCTTGGTAAACTTTGTTTTGATATCAGAAAGAGTAGAAGTACTATTACCTCTGCTGTTTGGTTTAGTGGTCTTCATTGTTATTTTGACCTTGAATATGTCCTTTTAACTTGACCTAAGTCTATTTTCTCACCTCTTAACTCTCTATTAATTTCATATATACTTATTCCTATGACAAGTCCGTGGAGTGTGATCAGATTGTTCGAAATGTGTTGCGCAAATACAACATTACACGATTCAGACAAATTACGTCTTCTTATTGCTTTATCTAAATTCATAAAGGGAACTAATTGTTTTAAATGTTTAAAAAAAATATATTTATTTAATCGAATTTAAAATTTTCCCGGTCGATTGACTGGATCGAAGTGCTCGATATCAGGTTGACATATCGGCTTCCTGTGCAGATGCTTCGCACAGTTGACGAGTCCCAAATAGGGCGAAATTCGCATCCTGGATTCCGCTGCTAGTACACCATCCACCAGTTAAAAAATTGTATTTATGCTAAAAGAAACTAAGTGTTTCTTATGCTCATCTGTGTGATATAACAATATTTGTTCAATTCAACATTAAAGCCAAAAATTGTTATTCTAAATATGTTCTAATGGGAAAAATAAGTCAAAAGCAAATTTTCAATGTGTTCAAATATAATCACCACCATTTGGGGCTCGGGGAGGGTGAAAAAATTTCAACTCGAAAAGCTACAAAAATTGATCGGTGAGGAAAGAAAACACTATATGAATCTTTTTTAATTTGTTTTTGGATGACAGATGTAGCGGGAGAGTGGGCGAGAGAGAGGGGGAGTGGAAAGTCAATCAACATGAAACTTCTTAGATACTCCTGATTTTGTCGACTCTTAAAACACCAACCCACTAAACAGGCTAAACAAACCGGAAATTGAATTCTCAATTTACACAGTTCAAGAAGATGAAATTTCCCTTGGCTTCCTTTAGAAACGGAAATTATTGACATCTACGTGATACATGAATGGTAGACACGAAAGCGAGTGTAAATGCATGACATTACGTATACTACTGATTGACCGATATATGAGTAGTTGGATAGCACTCACATCCATTAGTAGTGGTTGCTTACCCAAATAGAAATGGTCTAAGCACTGGGTGGTTGAAGTGGGAAGTTGCATCAGCCAGGTCAACGCGTTGATCGCTGACAAAGTCTCAGCACAGATACAGAAGGCTCGCTTGTCATTTGCCTGGCAAATTACGCTGTCTCTGGGTTAGTAAACGTGATATCCGGCTGGCTGTCGACTAAAGGGTGTGTGTACTGCTCAGCAGTTCGCTTCGTACTGACTAGTTGTGAGCGAGATATGGACATTGAATGTGGAAGACATGGAAAGCCTGGCTAGCTGTCTTTGATTACAGATGCCTGCTTTCTATCTCCATTGTTAGGTGGTATAATATGGTGAATAAAATTGAGGTGAGGCCTCAGTCGAGTTCCATGTAGGTGGGAGGGGAAATCAGTCAACGAGGTTATGAAACAGCTGCATCGATTGAGATAGTTAGGATATGTGTTATGCATACATCCCTAGTCATCGCCTTCTTCGACGGGCAATGTTAGGAAACATAGGATCAAGTTGGAAAAGAGCCAGGGGTAGTCAAACCAAAACATGGCGTCATCAGTCAATGAGATCCACAACAGTTAGTTTAAGCCAGCCACGTAGGAAGGTGTAGACTTTCTTGTAGGGGTCCTCAGGACGGTAAAAACCAGTGGCTGGAAACAATTAGTAGTGATACGGCTCAAAATCGTCGTTCTCAATGGAGCAGATGCCTTCACTCCTTGTGACTTATAATACCCATATTACTATTCTTTTCGCTTCACTCACTGCTGCTGCTGGATTCAACACCCAGCAGCTCTCTCTCTCTTTACTCTCTTCTCTTGATTTGTGTGCTACATGGATGGAGAGTGACAACTCGAACTGGTGGACATCTGTGGAAAGTTCTACGTTGAAATCAGTCAGTGAGTCATACGCCAATCAATCCCTTTTGATTCTGCAGCCCATGTACATTGCCACTGGTTTGGAATCAAGGTTTTCCAGCTCCTCTAGGTAGACTAGCTTGTCTATGAGTCCGGTTGTCAGTGCGCCATACACCTTCCACCTTTTTGAAAAACGCCCAACTGAATAAATAGCAGAGGGGATTGGTTGGAACGCACGACTAGACAACTTATATGTAAGATATGGTGTATGCTAAATCCATGTCACACCCATCAAAACTTCTATCCTAGTCTAGACTAGTTAATAAAGCACTATTTAGCAGGGAACACCCGAAAGTGAAAACCAGATATAGGGAGAGAGAGAGTTCGATTTTATGATTTGTTTGTCTGTAAAGGACAACGTGTAAAAATCAATTAAAACAAGGTGAACAGGAAATCCACGAGAAAAAAACAAGAAAGAGAGATCTGTCTTTCCACCACCTAACTATATTACCCTTTCATCCGAAAAAAAGTCTTTTTTGATAGAGTCTACATCAAATACACGCAAATGGGATAGTGATGCAACACCTATCCCGCATATACGGAATATTGTATTGCATTGATTTGACTCATGTGGTTTAGTGAATTAATAAATAACGCCTTGATATGTAAAATGCTGGATATTTCGTTCGACTCTTCACAGGAACAACATCACTCACACTAAGGATGCAAGTACTTCCGGATGACGAGTCCCAAAGTAGGACGAAACGCTCGTCCAGGATTTTATTTACTGCTAGTAGACATCATCAACCAAGTGAAATCATCTGATTAATTTAGTAAGTGAAGTTATTTTAGTGAACAAACTGTAACCCTATGCTACTTACTGAGTAACTAATCTTAGTTAATAAGACTACTCGCGCATAATTTGTACACTTTCATTGATCCCTCGAGTTCCCAGTGGAACAATAGCACACCTCCATTTCATCCTGTTTTCTGCCATCCTATTTAGCTGGCCCTTCCGTCGCCTATGAGCTCTCATCTTCCCCTCGTACGGTCTTCTCCATGTCACCCTTGGATTAACACCCAGCTCATCGTTTCCCATTTGGACTCCACTCAAGCGATGACCTGCCTAACGCGCGATGTCTTTCAACGGTCTCCTCAGTGTGTGTCCAATCTATCTCCGTTTTCGATTACATATTTTTGGAGCAATAGGCTCTTGGTTCGTTCATCTCAAGCAAGAGTTTCTGGCCGGCAATTTGATCCTCAATATGAAGCCAACGAAGCTAGCTGTTCATTAAAATCTACTAGTAGCCAGTTGGAAATGCTTTTCGTGAGGCTCAGTGCAAGTTTATGACCTACATAGAAGCACTGACTGACTGAATTCACATTTGTGTTGAACAGAATCCGAATCTTGTTATTTGTGCTGAGGCTGAGTGCAGAAGATTTCCGAACTGATTTCAGGTTGATGAAGATGTTCCTTGTCTCTGCGATTCTGGCTGGCTGGTTTTGACATCCTCATCCATGTCGCAGCCAATCTGTACATTAAATGTTTCAAATATGCTCCTTCTTGTAAAGCAAAAGCTAGAGATCAGTTCTCAAGTGACATACTGTGTTTTGTGCTCAGTAATCAGTCAAATTCTTGTCATATATTACGTAACATTTCGATTTAAAAAAAACTGCTTTAATTTGAATATTCTAAAACAGAGTAGCAACTATCAGTTAATAAACAACATCCGAATCAGTGGTGTAAAAACTATCGTTTTACCCTTTTTTTCATTCTATTTGCGTTTCGAGTGGGAAAAACGGCTTCAATTTTTGCATTTTCAAGAGTGGGAAAGGAGGGGGAGAGTTTCTTTTATACACGTTAAGATTGCTATAACCTCACACCGAAACTCCCCTCTCTTTTGCGGTGAGTCCATTACCGGCTGAGTAAACTAGACGAAGATAAGGAATAAGTTAGCTGGGCCCCAAACGTGGATATTCTGTGTAGCACAAACTGAGTACATCACTGATGAGCAAGGCCCTTAGGAAGCATACACTCTTGAATGTACAAATGTAAATAATAGTGAGAAAAACGTGAATATAACTTACTTGTAAAAGTAATATTAAATAGAGCAGAGATCTTCTTGGCAGCGGATGTAAACGTCTCACTAGTCGACAACATTTTTGAATTGGATTTAATTCCTCTTCATTTAAGCATTCGGCAGTATCATTTTTCTCCTGAGTTTCATAGACCTCAGCTTCACAAGCAGCTTTCATACATATCGATTGTAGCTCTATGGGTATCAGTGGTTGACTCAATTCCCGTAGCCATAATTTCAGTAGTCCTGCAGCTAAATGAGACTCCATATTGCCTGAATTACCGCCGCTGCCGCTGCCACCACCCGCACCAGTAGTCAATGCTGTCGTCGATGCTGACACTGACACTGCCGCCGCCGCCATTGATGATGAAGACGTCAGAGATGTTGACCGTGAACGTCTTATAATACTGGATAAATTCCTTGGCCAATAAGCTGTTGGTGTCAAGAGGACATATTCCGCTGGCGGTAGACTCAATGGTTCAGGTAATAAAGGCCAAGTGAATTCACCAATTAAACAATTCCAATCTAGACACGATGCTGAGGATGTGGCTAATAGTGAAGAAGAGTTGTTGATGATGATGTTTTAAATCACCATCGGGATAATTGTCTTGATGATTCTCGTCTTCTGCTTCAATCACCTGAACTGATGTCGACCAACCAGGCGGTGGTGGACGATGAACAAGGAAACGACTATTCATCATCATGTCATATTCATCGTTATTCTGCTGCTGCTGTTGTTGTTCTGGATCACACAGTTGTACAACACGAAATATTTCAAACAGTTTCTCTAGTTGACAACGTACTTCAATAAGAACATCCATATCTGGTGATAGGCTAATAATTTAAGAAGAAAGGAAGTTAAACATTCATTATTCACGATTACTTTGAAAGAAGAGTATAGGTAAAGTAGAGTACATAAAATAAAATATCTGTGGTTGATAAGATGGTACTTACTACAGTACGGAGTGTGGCATGAGTCCGGGGGGGGGGGGTTCTATAGGTCTGAATAGGTAGAGTCAGCTAGCTAACAGGAGACCTTAGACTTAGTTGTCACAATACAAACTAGCACAACTGATATTCCTTGGAAGATTTTAACACGTGTCACTCACTGCTGAAGTTACATAAACAATCTGACTAGATATTCAAGTGGTGGTTTGTAAAGATTTGATTGGTAACACGACTTCATCATGAGGTGAAATCGGTTGGGGAACCACTGGAAAACCTGGGAGTACTGGGCAGCTGTTTCGTCCTAGTTAGGGACCCTTCATCAATCAGAACGCACTCACCGGGGTTCGAACCCAGGACGTTCTGGTTACAAGGCGAAGTGGCAGACCATTAAGCAGCCACTGAGACCCGATCCAATGGCCCATGAATTCTAAATTCTGCCAATTCACGACAAAACTCGCCGAAGACATTGGCTAGCGGTTGCGCTATGTCGTGAATTGGCAGAAGTTAGAATTCATGGGCTGGCCATTGCATCGGGTCTCAGTGGCTGCTTAATGGTCTACGAGCTTGTCTTGTAACCAGAAGGTCCTGGGTTCGAACCCCAGTTGGTGCGTGCTGCCACTATTCATGGAAGTTTGAAACCTGATAATAGAATGATATCCATTCATCTATTGAAGAAATCAAATGACACTGAGGTCAAAAAAGGAGGAAATCCAACTAATCATCACATGAACAGGACTTATTGCACAATGCGTGTTGCGAAGCTATTCTTGAAGACAACACAGAGTAAATAATCTTGAAGTAAATTGGTGGATAGTGACTAGCAGTGATGCTAATCCAGAACACACACTTCATTCTACTTGGGACTCGTCAGCATCACCCAGTAAGTCAGTGATGGTGTCCCCACTGAGGCTCGAACCCAGCACCCATAGTTCCAAACGCCAAAGTGTCATCCACTGGGCCACTTGGACCACAAGAGCCACCTCCTACCTCTTGTGCAACAGGTAATAATAGTTATTTAGTTCAACAATTTGGACTTTCCCGTTGTTGATTGACTGTACAGAAGTGCTTGGCCACAGACTGACATGTCAGCTCCTTGTGCAGATGCTTCGACGATATCTGATTACTTAACTTGAAACTATGGGTAATGGGTTCCAGACTCAGTGGGAACACTATTCACTGACTTACTGGGGGAATGCTGACGAGTCTCAAGTAGGACGAAATGTATATGCTGGATTCGCACCAATTTACTTTAAATTTAAATAATCAGACATCGCCCATCGAAGCATCTACACAAGGAGCGCAGACATGTCAACACCTGAGGTCCAATCAATGAGCAGGAGGGTCCAAATTGAATTAAACAGAGTAAAGCCGTTTAAAATTCTAGTTTCACTCATAATTCTATGTAATATATATATTTGACTAGTTCAACACGTACACACACACACACCTTATATCAGTATACCGCCATTGATCAAAGATAGATGGATAACAGAATGACACTGACACGGTGATCACGGAATGATTAGTGGTGGTAGAGTGAAGCTTGAAACCACACAAATGATGTGTTAAGGGGATATGAGAATATACAGCAACAGTTCAAACACACACAAATACACACAAACACGGAGACAGTCGGAACATTTCCGTTGTGTGACTCATCTTTTCTGGTTTCAACAACCATATGAACTAATCCAAAAAAGAGAGAGAGTAGGCAGGTTGGCTGACTAGCGAGCTAGCTAGCTGGCAGGCAATTCGAAATAGCAGACTAAAGTCCTACACACACACACACACACACACGCTTTGAATATTGATGAATGCATTGAATTAAGCGTGAGAGAGAGATCAAAGAGTATTGAAACACCAAAAAAAAAAACAACAAATTTTAGTTATTTTATTATGAAATAGTGAGAATAATAAAAATTCATTCACATAAAGAGATGCAGAGAGGCACGACACAACAAGTGTATAAACATTCATACATATATATATGCAAAAATTACTTGTGTGGGTAAATAGTGTTGAATAATTAGAGAGAGATATGCGTGTGTTGTAGTGTAAAAAGTTACCACCGATAGTAGAGATAGAGATGATTTTACAATCCACAAAATGATGACGATGAGAGGATGACTCATTCATTCTGTCAAGTCAAATTACAAATCAAATCACACAACAATAATAATAATAACAACAACAACAAAAACAATCCTATTCGAACTTCATCATTCTGTTAACAATATAAGAGAATGCAAGTTTTGCATTTATCGTGAGAATATCAATAAATTCAAAGATAGGAGAAGGCCAGCTAGCTGTGTCTTTGATCATAGGTGTCTGCGTTCTATCTCCTGTGTTAAGTGGCATAATATTATTATTATTATTGTTTCCTTTAATTCCTAGAGGAACATAGGGCTTCAGCCGTGCGTCTCCATTGCGCGTTCGGTTCTCTGCTAGAGTCTTCACCTGGCTCCAAGTCTGCCCACACGCTTTCATCTCCTCTTCACATGACCTCCTCCAAGTCACCCTTGCACTGACGACCAACTCGCCGCTTCCCTTTCGGGTTCCACTCGAGCAATGGCTTGTCTAGTGATGTCACTTGATGGTTTGTTTCCTCAGAGTATGACCAATCCATCTCCATTTCTTCCTGCCTATCTGTTTCACAATCGGTTCCTGCTGGGTTGGTTCGCTCCCAGAGATCTCTGTTGCTGATCTTTTCTGGCCGGTCATCTGATCTTGAGTATTGAGCGAAGACAACTGTTAATGAAGGTCTGTAGTTTGTTTGAGATGCTCTTTATGACGCGCAGTGCAAGTCTCTGATCCGTATAGTAAGGTAGCACTGACTTCACATTGGAGTTGAAATTCCGGATCTTATTTTCCATGCTGAGTGCTGTTGACCTCCACACAGACTTGAGAGTAGTGAAAGCTTGTCTTGCTTTTCCGATTCTTGCTTTGATATCCTCGTCAGTTCCATCCGCCTGTAGTTGAAACGATGCTTCCCAAGGTAGGTAGGTAAAGGAGGTTGTTTCTTTCAGGTTCCTTCCATTTATGCTGATTGTTGTCTGTTGTTGTTGTTGCTGTTGATGGAGGATTTCCTATCTTTGATGCTTCTTCTACCGCCAACTTGTTGCTTTTCGCTTGCATATCTTCCAGTTTGTGGGAAATCAGACATATATCATCGGCGAAGTCCAGATCCTCCAACTTTTTTTGTGTGAGTCCATTTTATGTCCGTTTCCTCATTGCCCGCTGTTTGTCGCATTATCCAATCTACTGCAATCAGGAAAATCATTGGAGATAGTAGGCAAGCTTGTCTTACTCCTGTTACGTAAGTTTCCCGTTGTGGATTACTTGGCATGCAGCATTGTCGTACAGCTGTTGGATGAGATGTATTATTGTCGGTGGCACCTCGTAGTAGCGAAGTAGTTGCCAAATCACCTCTCGATAGACGGTGTCTGTCGAAGGCCTTTTCAAAGTCGATGAAGTTGAGATAGAGAGGTGACTGCTATTCCAAGCTTTGTTCAATGATGATCCGTAGTGTGGCGATTTGATCAATAAGGTGAGCGATATTGAGGTTAGGCATCGATCAAGGGCTAGGTAGGTGGGAGGGAAAATTAACCGATGAGGCTGTGAAGCAGCTGCATCGATTGAGATGGTTAGGATATATATGCCATCCCTAGCCATAGATCTTCCTCGACGGTGGACAATGTTAACCACATAGGATCAGGTTGGAGAAGAGGTAGTGGTTGTGGTCAGATCAAAACATGGTTTCATCAATCAGTGAAATCCATAACAGTTAGTTTAAGCCAGCCAGACAGCCACGTAGGGAGGTGTAGACTAACTGACTGACTGTGTGCAACATGGAATGTGGCAACTCGAACTGGTGCACATCTGGGGAAAGTTCTACATTGAAATTAGTCAGTCAGTGTAGACCATTCAACAACCGAGTTTCCAATGTTCCTTTAACTGACCAACTGAGTGTCAGCATAGAACTTTGCACAAAAGCGGAGAAGTCCAAGTTGTCACATTTCATATACCACACACAGAGAGAGAGAAAAAAGGAAAAAGTCGAAAGAACTATAAATCAAAAGAAATATACAGGATAAAGAATAATTACACATAGAAACATGAGGACTTAATGAATTTAGGAGATTCCAAAGAGCAAGATGAATCTGCGTCATCTACAGAGTCCAACTATTGATTCTTGGCGTCTCCAGAACACCAATCAGACAGTCTACAGTTCCATACGTGGCTGGCTCAAACCAAAAGCCAAAAAAGACTCCATGAACTCATGTCATGTTTTGATTTCGCCACCCTTAAATCATCTTTTCCAATCTAATCTTATCGTGGCGTGTACTACTGATAAGATTTATCAGTAGTGCATAAAGAGACATTCATCGGCATAAAAACATCAGTTATCAGGGAGATAGATTCCATGTCAGAGAAAGCAAATGATATACAGCATTGTGGAGATACATGGGAGAAGTGAAAAGAACACACAGAAACGCAATATGAAAGGGGGGGGGGTGGCAGAAGTAGTAGAACACGGAAGATCTGTACAGCAAATGGTGCGGCGTTGAAGATAAGGTGTACATAATTTGGCTATATAGAGGAGATGCCAAATTGCAAATAAACATTGAAGTCAGTGCTACTTTATGGATCAGAGACTTGGCACCGCGTCATGAAGAGCACCTCAAACAAACTACAGACCTTCATCAACAGCTGTCTTCGCTCAATACTAATCAAGATCAGATGACCGGCCAGAAAAGATCAGCAAAAGGGATCTCTGACAATGAGCAAACCAACCCAGCAGGAACCAATTGTGCAACAAATATGCAAGAATACGTGGAGGTGGATTTAGCCATACTCTGAGAAAACAAACCATCATCAAGAGAGTG